TACTGTTATGAATCGTAATGTAAATATCTGATATGCAGGATGGTCTTAGGCGACCCCTGTGAAAGGGTCATTTGACCGCCAAAGGGGTCGCGACCCACAGGTTGAGAACCGCTGATTTAGTTCCTGCTAAGTTACTGAATACATGAAGCATTTCCATAGTTTGTAAATGGAAAATGTTGTGCCCATTACTATAAAAGTGCATTAGCGTCGTCACATATTCAATTGGAGGAGGCATTGGAGAAAGGCAATGCATAGGATGTCTTACTCCAGCAGATGAAAGCTGAACCAAAATTTTAGAATGACTTCAAATGGAATGGTTTTAAAAACGAGATACATTTATGTCTCACTTGGTTAATGGTTAATGTGTAGGGTGTGTATGTAGGCTTTGCTCAGAGTATTCATTTCAGCAACAGTTGGGGTTCTTGCACCTTTGGAACATGGTTTTCTAGGAAGTTCCGCTCATGGCCATTCACAGCCAGGGCGGCGGGTAAGTAACAGTGAGCCTTGGCCAAGCTTCTTTCAAGCACATACGTTTGGGTGTTGTCCAGGGAGGATTTGCACTCAGGTCTCACTGGTAAGAATTTAGTCAGTCACACGTACCTACCAGTGAGGGAAGGAAAAGGAATTGAGCTGGGAAGCTTTGTACTCACCGAAAAGGAGAAGATGAATTTGAGGGAGTGGACAGTAAAAAGTAACAATACTTCTGGGAAACATTATTCAAAAGTTGAGATTTTTGCTTGAACATGATTTGTATCCATGAAACTTTTAATAATACACTGAATATCCTAGGGATTATGAATTCTAAAACAACTTTTATTTACTCTTTTTTTGAAATATATATTTTTATTGATTTCAGAGAGGAAGGACTAAGGAGAGATAGAAACATCAATGATGAAAGGGAATCATTGATCGGCTGCTTCCTGCACACCCCCTACTGGGGATTAAGCTCGCAACCCTAGCATGTGCCCTGAATGGGAATCCAACCATGATGTCCTGATTCATAGGTCGATGCTCTACCATTGAGCCGCACTGGCCAGGCATAACTTTTATTTTAGAACAGATTTAGAGTTACAGAAAAATTATTAAAAAATGTGTTTCTATATCCCACTCCCACTTTTCCCTATTATTAAAATCTTATATCAATGTGGTACCTTTGTTACAATTAATAAATATTGTAACATTAACTTAAGTCTCTACTTTATTCAGATTCCTTAGTTTTGACCTAATGACTTTGCTTTATTGCTGGTGGTACCGAGGTAAGTTGAATAGTAGAAACCTGGTCTATGTTTAACCTACCATTTTTCTTTTTTTAAAAGAATGCAGTCTAATATTAAGTAATAGTTTGGTATGAAATAAATACTTTGGAAAAGGAAGATAGGGAGATAGCCAAGGGCTGGATTAAGAAAAGAATTACATGCCAATTAAAGAGTTAGTTCCCTATTCAGTAAAGATACGTGTAACATTTCCATTTTAATAGGTTTATAATTTAAAAGTTCACACTGGTGACTGGGGGGGGGGAATGGAACTGGAAAAATTACCAAGGAAATTAGAGAGTAAAGATCAATTATGGATTTCCAGCAATACGGTAGACTCACCATTTTTTTTAAAGGCTCCTGTATTAGCCAACTTCTGAACCCCTTCAAGGCTGTTTTATGCCCATAATAATGCTGGTTGGAGGGAGAGTCAAGTTAGAAATCTGTGGTGAGGTTACTACCTTATCTTAAAATCCCATGCTCTCAGAACAGTGCTTTACTCATGGTAAGTACTGCATAGATATTTAATTAATCAAGTATTACATAGGATAGTTTTTATGTGATAGTTGCAGTGTACAACCATAGAATGAAATAGTACTTTGGTCATTAAATGGTTAGTCTGATTTTCAGAACATGAGATAATTTCAAGTGTGGAATTTTTGCTTCAGATTGAATTTCATTTAGATGTACTAATTTACCACATGTCTTCAATATCAAATAATTTGACATGGCTATTCTAATTCACAAGCCATCCATAGTTCATTAAAAGAGCTGATGTTGCCTTCGTGTAAAAGAAATGGAGATGTAAAAATTTCCAGCTGACATATATTTATCAAATATTGAACTATTATAGGGTGATTGAATTATAATTTATATTTCTATCTCCAGGAAAACCTGGAAGTAGAAACATAAATCTGATCACATAGATGGAGGAAAGTAGAATGTCAATGGCAGTAGAATCAGAGATAGTAAATGGGCATGGCAAAATGTCGACTCTCAGGTTTTAAAAATTCAGTCAATTACGAGATAATTGCCTAAGAATATCACAAGCTTAACATCTGTGACTCTGTGGCTTCAAATTATAAATACCGTATCTATGACCAGAGGGAAATGCAATTTTGCAAGAGGATTATTGTTCTAATTAAATGATCCAGGCACCGGATCAGAATGAGATTCTTATCCCAGTCTCTCTGAGCTTGATTTACTTCAGATGTTCTTTTCAGTGGTCACATTGATTTGGGAAACCTAGCTGTAGCTTCTTACAAATCCTAAGCCACATTTATTATTGAAAATTGTCTTTTTCTACGAGCTTTTCCAAATTCTGGTAATATAAAAAACATAAAAAATATGTGTTGATCGTTTAAATCTGTAGAACACTTGGGAATTTGCTTGGTATGTTCGCTTACACTGTATTCATGGTGCCTTAGACACAACATGCGGAGAGAAGCATTCGTATTACCTCTGTATTTCGGGGGAAACCAGACTCGGATAGAAAGGTCATGGTGACAGTGTTGCCAAGGCAGCTGGCACTCAGATAATTAGATCCTGACCAAGGGACTTCTGTGCCAAAACAGGATGTCCCAAGACGAAGTTAAGTTCTTCCTTACCTGTCGCTGTAGGGTCTTATCTCTCATAAGGCAGAGCGAGCCGAGCATGGCTGACAATGTCCTCAAGTTCCAGGGAATGACCGCCGTCCTGTGTCCATTGGGGACAGTGTGTGTTGCTTGGTTGGTTTCTGGGCCTAGGATTCCAGGGTTCTTCTGATAAAGGTCCTCATGGCAATTCTGACTTTTCCAAACCTCTGTTGGAATCTTGGTCTCTTAACGTCTTGGTTTGACCAACCACTCTGAGCCTGTCTTTCACCCAAAAAAGGGGAATAATAATCTATAACCTCGTGGTGTTGTTAGAATCAAAGGAAGAGAATATTTGATGTAACACCAAAATGATGGTGTTTAATAATTCTATTTCCTGTTGAATTGCTTACAAGCCACCCCAAACAATGCGAGAACAGTGTTTTGCTTATGGTAGATCGAATACATATTTATTGTCAGAACTACTTGTTGTTAAAATGCCTTGGAAAGAAAGACAAACATCTCGAGAATCCAGAATGTCTGGGTGATGTTTTTGTCGCCAGTCTTACTCTGTTCATTTCTCCGAGCCCTGGAAAATGACCCGATGGCCTCAGAAGGTAAGCTGGGCCGGATGGGGTATTTGTTTAAATGCTAAGAAATGCTTATGAACCATCTAGACAAGAGCTGAGTGGTAAGTACCATATCACACTTGACGGGTACATCCAGGTAGATCTACACAAATGCATTTAAGGGGGGTGGGAGCAGCCGGGGAGAGATCAATGGGGGGAAAGGAAGACATATGTAATACTTTAAACAATAAAGCATTTAAATTTAAAAAATGCATTTTAAATCCACAGGGAAAAAAGTACTAATTATATACCTAATATTACACCATGGGCAATATGGGAACTCATTTTAAAACAAATTTAAAATTAGTTTTGCCGAGGCTGGTTTGGCTCAGTGGATAGAGCGTCGGCCTGCGGACTGAAAGGTCCCAGGTTCGATTCCAGTCAAGGGCAGGTATCTGGGTTGCGGGCACATCCCCAGTGGGAGATGTGCAAGAGGCAGCTGATCGATGTTTCTCTCTCATCGATGTTTCTAACTCTCTATCTCTCTCCCTTCCTCTCTGTAAAAAATCAATAAAATATATTTTAAAAAAATAAAAATAAAAAAAAATAAAATTAGTTTTATATTGAAAGGGTGTTTTTTAAAAAAATGTATTTTAGTAATAGTTTATCCGAGAGGAAAAAAAATGTTTCTTTACATCAGTTATTTGATTATTTATTTTATACCAATACAGTACTATTTGTAAATTCTGGAAGTTATACAATTGACATTGGTAAAATGTTGGAGTAACTAGGTTTTCAGTACATGAAGTGAAAATGATTGTGTGTCGTATACTGACTATAGGTTATTAGAATTTAGAAAAACAATGGCTAAGCAAGTTGCTAAAAAAAAAAAAAACAAAAAAAAAAACTAAGAGTTTCCTTTGTCTATGATGTGCTTCTAATCACCTTTTTAAGTATGTTTCCCGAAATGGTCTGATATTTAGTTGGGAAATACTTTACCTGCTTATTATAATAGTGATGGTGTCTCTTAGAATGGTTTGCAAGTACGGGTAATACGAGTAATAATGTATCAACTGCTTCCCAAGCATTCTATCTTGTTGGGCTTTCCCTGAAGGCGGTTGAGAGGGACTTTCAAATGTTCCCATTTTAAAAAATCTTGGTGAATTTTCCCCAGGTGCTAACAAGCCATGTATCCAAATAGAACTCATTTCATGGGGAAAAAAAAAGAATCCCACAGCACTTCTTTTAATAACTGTTCAGCTACAAAATTTTATTGGTATCTTTTTATGTTCCCTCCAGAGGATGTAATGCACAAAAGCATTGCCACGGAACATATAAAATTACAAATGAAATTTATTGTAAAAAGTAGACTGTCTTCTAGACGGGTGTCAGTATTTATTTCATTCATCAACCAAGACTGCAGTGGAATATATTCATGGTCAGCAAGTCCACGGGTGGAAACTGCCATCCAACGTTATTGACGGATATAAGACAAGATATTGAAAAGACAATTTTGTGTGTGAGTGTGTGTGTGTGTTTTTTTTTTAAATGTACTCTTCCAAACAGAAACGGTTGCACAAAAAGCACTGTAAAAACTCCTCCCGGGGTTTGGGTTTGTGCTTGACGTGACGGGTTAACTACATAATTTGGTCGTGTCGTAATCCACGGTGTTGGGCAATTTGGCATTGAAGGCCTGGAGGGCGGCCTGGATCCGCACCACCTCGCTGGTGGCCAGCTTGAGCCGGTGGCGGAGCAGGCAGGAGAACAGGTCCAGGCGGCGCGGGCCGGGCGGCGACAGCTTGTTGACCCGGTCCCTGATCTCCACCAGCTGCAGCAGCGCCGAGTCCTGGGATCCCTGAGTGTAGGGGTAATCCAGCTGCAGGATCAGGTCCCGGATGGCCTCGGGGTCGAAGTGCATGCTGTAGCCGAACACCTGGATGTGGTTGATCTTCATGTAGCCCAGGTTGCGCGCCGGGTCGATGAACTCCAGCGGCTCGTAGTAGACGCTCTCGTTGCCGTTGGGGCCGCTGGAGCGGATGCGGCTCCGCAGGTAGATGTGCACCGTCTCGAAGAACGTCTTCCACGTGTTGCCCAGCGTCAGGGACCAGTTGTAGCACTGCAGGGGCAGGTCCAGCCTAGTCCGCTCCCAGTCGGGGAAGCTGTCCTCGCTGACGGGCATGAACCAGCTCTCCGAGTGGCTGCCCCCGAACGGGTTGATGTACACGGCCAGCACGGGCTCCAGGGTGCTGTTCTTGGTCAGGCAGATCTGCAGCGACAGGCCCAGGATCATGTGCACCAGGCTGGACTTGTACTTGTTGCTCTTCAAGGTGAGCAGCATGCGCTTGCGCCACGAGGGGTCGAACCAGCTGTTGAGGCGCATGTCGTTGCTGATGAAGATGGCGTGCACCTCGAGGCGCCGGTCCGTCTTCTGCAGCAGGTACTTCAGCTCCAGGTCCTGCAGGTCGGTCTCGAAGCCGATGTAGTGGTCGGTGGACTCGGCCACCTCGGGCTTGCACAGGCCCTGGCTCAGCATGTAGCCCGTGTTGCAGGCGCCGCAGCGGGTGCGGTTGTCGGGGGCGCAGGCCAGGCAGGCGGCCGCGTCGCCCACCGTGCAGGGCAGGGCGGCCGTGCAGGCCAGCTGGTCGCTGGGGCAGGTGCAGGAGTGCGTCTCCTCCGAGAAGCTGCCCAGGAGCCCATTCTCGTTGCAGTAGAGGAAGGACTGGATGCGCGTGAGCCAGTAGGTGGCGGTTCTGGAACACAGAACAGGGAGAATCGGGGTCAGTACGGGCACCGGGTGGGGGCTGCAGCGAAGTCAGACTGCGCCCTGAGCTTCGCTCTGGTTCCTTCAGGTCGGCTCCAGCCAGTGATTCACTAGTAACTGAGGTGAAAGGTCCAGAGAGCCTCGCGGGCGTGGCTCAGGGGTTGAGCATCAACCTATGAGCCAGAAGGTCCTGGTTAGATTCCTGGTCAGGCATGTGCCCAGGATGTGGGCTCCATCCCCAGGGTGGGGTGTGCAGGAGGCGGCTGATCAATGATTCTCTCTCATCATTGATGTTTCTATCACTCTCTCTCTCTCCCTTCCTCTCTGAAATCAAAATATGTTTTTAAAAAAGATCCATATAGTTCACCATTGAAGAAATATACCTGTATATTTGTATACTATACATAAATTATATATATTTAAATAATATAGTTATGTTTATATAGTATATACACTTATATACTATATAGTCATGTTATATAATATACAAACATCTATTATATATTTGTATATCATCTATTATATATTATATTTGTATATTATATATATATTTATTATATATTATATTTGTATATTATATATACATTTTATTTCTGCACAAGATTGGCTATAGATAATTCCTTCTGAAGAGATTGCATGTGGTCTCACTAGTATACTTGGAAGCTGATGGTGTATAGAGTTTGGTCGGTTATTGTTCTGAAAAGATATCCAACAACAGGAAATAAAAGTGGCTTTTCATAAACTATCTAGAGGAGAATTAGGGTGTATAGATGAGGACTGTTCCTTCATTCATCCTTAGCTTCGCCTCATAAAGCCCTCCTGTCACAGGAAGCCCTAAATAGAAAATAAAAGAAAAATAAACAGCACCAAATCGTCAATCAATGGATTTAAATCCTAGGGGTTTATCAACATTGAAAGAACAAGTACCTACTGAGAGGGAAAATATTATTGAAACATGTTTGATTTTTTACTTACAGGCTGCTCAAAGAAATTGTCGAAAATATCTCATTAAAACCAACTACAAGTTCTTTTAATAAGGGTTAAGTGTGTCAATTTAATGTGTTTGATTTGAATCATTAACAATTTTTTCTCATTTCTTCCCCAAAATCAGGCAAATCATGAAGCCAATTTAAGATGTTATTTTCCTGTTTCCTCACCTTATTCAGACTCTTTTTTTGTTAATCCTCACCCAAGGAGTTTCTACTGATTTTTAGAGAGAGTAGAAGGGAGCGGGGAGACAGAGAGAGAGAAACAGCAATGTGAGACACATCAACAGGTTGCCTCCCACTCACACCTCGACCAGGGCCAGGATGGAGCCTGCAACTCAGGTATGTGCCCTTGACTGGAATTGAACCCAGGACCCTTCAGTCCGCAGGCTGACGCTCTATCCACTGAGCCAAACCCACTAGGGCTCAGACACTCTAGGTGTGTTTACAATCTGTAAAATAGCCGGCCTGCATGGCTCAGTGGTTGAGCATCGACCTATGAACCAGGAGGTCACGGTTTGATTCCTGATCAGGGCACATGCCCAGGTTGTGGGCTCGGATCCCCAGTGTGGGGCGTGCAGGAGGCAGCTGATGATATTCTCTCTATCCATCTCCCTTCCTCTCTAAAAATCAACGAAAACATTAAAACAAAAAATCTGTTAAATAATGAAGGAAAAGTGTGGCTGTGCATTCAGAAAATGTTTTCTCATACTAGCTGTACGATCATGGAATATTAGGGCAGGTTGTGTAACCCACTTCCCCTCATGTGAAAAATGGGAACTGCAATATCTCCTATATTGCGTTCTTGTGAGAGATAGTTCGGCTCAGCCTGTATGCCTGTGCTTAGAATACTGCCACGTTGTCTCAGAGCAGACACAGAAATTGTACCTACTTTTGATATCCTTATGCCTTTCCAGTGTTCATTATGTAATATACATGAGATTTTCTGCAAAATGTACTCAATCCTTTACACTGCCACCATTTTTAAAAAATATATATTTTATTGATTTCAGAGAGAAAGGAAGAGAGAAGTAGAAATATTGATGATGAGAGAGAATCACTGATCGGCTACCTCTGGCACAGCCCCTACTGTGGATCGAGCCTGCGACCCAGGTATGTGCCCTGATTGAGAATCCAACCGTGGTAGATTCCTGGTTCATAGGTTGATGCTCAACCACTGAGCCAGGCTAAAATACACATTTAATATAGTTGTGAAGACCTAACTCTCAAGTTCATTTCCCTCCCCCCGCTTTTCCCACTTTCTTGCTGTAGTTCCATTTATGGCCACCTAATATAAAGAATATAAAATATATAGCCGATCTGGCTTGAAAATTACATTTTCTTCCCTGAAACCATAGCATACATTCCCCAGACAATTCATCTCTCACTGAAAAGCTCTAATCACGTTTCCAAATCACAAGGACAAACAATGAAATAAACAGACCTCAGGCTAAAAGGCTGCTCGCAAAACTAGGGCACCACGGAATCGCTGGGGCACTTTTTTACAAAAGCAACGGTCCTCCAGCTTCCAGTCTCTCCCAGCCCTTTCCCGTGCCCGCAGATGCACTTCTGGGGGAGTGTGTCTCAGTTTTGTGTCTCTACTTCCCATGTATGAATATTGATGGGCGTCCTGCCAGAGCCCGGGGACCCGGACAGAGGAGCTGGCCTGTGGATTTCCTTCCTTGCTGCTCCTTGTTGTGTTTTGACTATTTTATTGTATTTTGCAAGGAGGAACAGATTTTTCAAGGAAAAAGAAATACAATAGAAAGTCTTTTTTTTTTCTCTCCTTGTAAAAATTTGGTTAAAAATAGGAGGTGGAGCAGATTTCAAGACTGCATGTGGATTTTTCACTTACCGGAAAGATCACCAACAAAGCAAAATTTAACTTTTTAAAAAAATTTTTAAACTTGAAAAATTTTTCAGGAAAGAAGAGAAATAGCTTCAAAATGAGGCTGTACCACACCAGCCAGACATGCTTTTTTTTTTTGCCCTTGTATATACTCTATTCTTATTCTTTTCATTCCATACCTAGAAGGCAATCACCATTCATCGCCTCCTGTAGACTGTACAGTCAGTGGCAAATGAATTGTTCCCTACAGCTGCCTCCATCATGGCTTATATGTGTTAATTTTTATCTACAGGTTACAATAGGTTCTGGCAGCCTTACATTTGTCCTCCGAGTAAATGTCATATCGCTCCTGAAAAAATATACTAATTGAACATATCTGCCTTTCACCAATGCAGTTAAAAGCTCCCATTAATAGCTGAAAATTGATTGAAGTAGACAATATCTGCTTTTAGGACGAATGGCCCCAACAAATAATGCGTTTCCTCTGGCAGGTGGGGACACACGCGATGCAACTATGCGATGGCATGTCACCCGCAGGAGAAAATGAGCTCTCGAAGTGGTATGTCAACATTCATTTTCATAGCTGGGTAATACCTCTAATCATAACCAACGGGGTTAGGCCGAAACACCTGCTGTCTCTTCTGTTATCTGTGTGACAAATTAAATTCCAGGTAGCACGCCTCCCTTCTAACTGGATAGCCACGCAGGGGTGAGCCTCCTCAAGCGTTCTCACAATGTCAGTCGTGGGGGTAAACACCACATTCTAAAGGGACCAGACACAATTTCAAACGAACATGTTTCCATTACCTGTCTTAATAGATTTTCTGATTCAGAGATTGAGTGAGATAAAGATGAGTTTTTATTTATAGAGTAGTTACCTGAAGAGAGATTGAAGGGATGCGTGTGTGGGAGCTACTCAGGTAGATATCTGGGATTCTATTGGATTCAATGAAGGTGTGTGCCCTGGGGTTCTGGACATTTCTGAACACACAGACAAATGCCCGTTTCTCTGCAGGACTGGGAAACACAGTGCTTGGGTATAGGGACAGCATAATCCTCAGTTATTCAACTTCAAAAGATTCTTGCTTCTTTAAATCTAGCTGCAGGCCTAGCCCATTTGGCTCTGTGGATAGAACGTCGGCCTGCAGACTGAAGGGTCCTGGGTATGATGCCTGTCCGGGGCATGTACCTGGTTTGCAGGCTCGATCCCTGGCCCTGGTTGGGGCATGTGAGAGAGGCAACCAATCAACGTGTCTCTTTCACATCAGTTTTCTCCCTCTCTCTCTCCCCCTCCCTCCCACTCTTTAAAAATATCTTCAAATGAGGATTAACAACAACAAAATGTTAAGATGATACACTAACTTACATAATCACAATCGCCACTATCACATAACAAAATTAACTAATTTATTGGCAGTGACAAATAGCCAGGCCATATTCCAATTTACCTGAAAATCTAAAAATAATTATTTTTAATTCTTAAATATCAGGATCCAAAGAGAGTCTACTCATTTCATTAGGTAGTTATGTCCCTTAAGTCTGTTCCAGTCTTAATTTCTTTGCTTATCCCATGCTGTTGACTTGAGAAAATGAGACCAGCTTTTAAAATATCCCACTCTCTGGATGTGACTGCACCTCAGCTTTCCCTCCTCAATTACCTGGAGACCGGAAGTTGACATCAAGACCCAGGAGTCTTGTGTTTTGGGGAGGACAGTACAGACAAAGCTCATAAGTGACTCCAGAGTCACTACGTTTTATATTTAAATTAATGTTCTGGCTTCAAATCATAAACACACACACACACAGTCACACAGTTTATAAAGAACTCTGATTCCAAACCTGCGACTTCCTAAAAAATACTCATTAAAAAATAGCCTGTAGAGTGTAAGTAAGCCAAATAGCAGCCCGCCCTGTCTCCCCCTGCACTTCTGTTCCTCCTGTGCAAATAAGAAATAAAATGGTACAGAATACAACAGGAATGAGGTTAATAAACGGGTTTGCAATGGACACAGCTGTCCCCACAGGGCCTTCACCTGGGCGCTCAGAAGAGAGAGCTATGCAACATTTATTCAGCAATTTTAGGCGCTTTACCTGATGCCTTCACATGATCCTCGCTTCTCTGAGGTGAGTATTATTAAAGCTGTTTTTTACAGA